AGTGAAATATCAAATCAATACGTCTGAGTGATACAAGTTATAAGTCAGGGACTCCAGGAAAGATCAGTAATTACTACATATATTAAAAAGAAACAACTCTCGAACACCTCGTTTAACTGTAGCAATTCACCAAAATCGCACGTTAATAATGTATTGAAAACTTTTTAACTAATATGAAGGAATGTCTTTGTAATAGAAAGAGAAAAAACTACTAGAAAAATAAAAATTAGTTAATGTTAAATTTGAATATATTTCAGCATAAAAATCATATTTAGAATATAAAAGTAAATTTGATTTTTCTAGCAGTTTTCACCCTTTCTATTGTAAAGGTCTTATATAACCTAAACTGCAACTATATGATAGTAAGTAAGGTTTTGGTATAAAGGCAAAATTTTTTACTTTAGACTTATAATGATTTTTATTTTTATTTTCTAGTTCATTTTATAAGAACATTCATATTAAAAGATTAATTAAGGTGAACAATAAAACTTTTGTTCATATTGATCGCCTCCTGATTGCATTAATAACCAATCATATAAAACCTTAATTTTTAATCAATCTGATCTAATCTAAATGAACAGGGCTTTTATTCAATTTTATATATTAAATCATGAATTATAATTGGTTAATAATGATATACAGTGAATAAAATTCAAGTCAATGCTTATTACGTAATATGTAAGAAAAAATCATATGCAATTTGCAGAAAATGAATTCCAATTTGTACATGGATATGTTAATATTTTATTTAATAATAAAATTTTAAACTGAAAGTTGCATAATATACAAATTAAAATCACAAATAATTTGCGGAAATCAAAAGTAAGCTGTGCTTTACAAATTCTGCAAATAGATTTTATACACTAATGATGTATACCAAAAATTATATCTATTAGAATTGAACAAGCTTATGATATTTTAAAATTCAGAGATATTATATGATGATGCAATTTTATGAAAAGGTGAGAAAAATAAAATAACGTAATTTCTGATATGCAATTTACTATATAGAATCAATCAGATTGCATGATTAAATAATTATCAAACATATTTAAAAGTCTCTTGAGTCTACTTTACTGTCTTGTGTAATTATATTAAATATAACTTATAAAAATTATGCTTAAGATTTGGAAATTTTTAATAGAAGTTTTTTGAAAAAATCTATTGATTCAGGAGAAGATCAGTAGTTATGTACCTTTATTCTAAAAAAGCAAAAAAAAAAAATCATTATTAGAAATACTTTTTTGCTATTCTTATAAAGATCTTCTTCTTTTTCTTCTTCACTTTTCTCATGAAAGCTCTTCTTCTTCTTCATTTTCCTTGTGAAAGCCTTGTATTTTTCCACTTGTTTATGAAAGTGTTATTTTTTTCTCTTTATGTAAACCTTACTCTCTTGATTTTCCTTATTAAACTATATTTTTTTATTTTAGAAAATCGTAGATACTATTGTTATGAAATAGCAAAATACTCAGTTTATATTAGTGTTAGACAATTAGACAATTTTGAATAGTTTTATACAGTTTTAAATAGGTTTTAAACACAATTTTATATGTTCAAAACCTGTCCAAAATATTTAAGATTAAAAAATGTGTTCAAAACCCATCACTGGTTTACAAGGAAGGATCTATTCAAGGTCTCAATTGTAATGAAGTTAACTATTTCTTCCATTTATACATGTTAAAAAAATGTTAAAAAAGGGTAATTTTATTAACATTAAATTGATCATCTAATAAATTTATACTAACATTAAATCAAGCTCATATTCATTTTGCAAATCACAAAGATGCTAGCAACTTTTTCTATGAGATGTTCGAAAGAAATTTTAATGGACCAATTGGCCCAATTGGCCCTATTCAATTCAATAAATCCTTAGAATATGACTTGATAACTCCAGTCAAGAAGTAGGTTTTTTTCTTTAAATTCAGGGACCACCCAAGTCAACAAATTCGGATGAACAATCACATGAACATGAACTACCCGAATCTGATATACGTATACAATACCTTCTAAACAGAATTAAAGAATTAGATGTCATAGTTGAAACTGAGGTATGAATTCTTGATTTAATAATAATTGTAATTTTACTAATTATTTTATTATGATATTTTATCACAGCAAAAACGATTGGTAATTTGAACATCAACAGAAGTCACTTAAACGAAAAGTTGACGAGCTTGAAGTTGAAGTACAAATTTCAGATAAACGAAGAAATTATTAAAAAAGATATCATTATTAATGTGGGGCCAATTAATTACTAATAATATCTAAAAATACTGTGTAAAAAATGTATATGACTAACATTGCTAATGTGTACACTCTTTGTATAATTCCGATTTGTATTTCTCTCTTTACTCTAGCAAAAAATAAAATAATCTCATTAAAATTGCTATAAATCAATAAAACCATGGTACTACGTGGCAGAAGCGGAGAAAATTCAGTTATCAATGCGATTATTTAATATAGCTTTTGAGCGCTCGATGATCTATCTAATGAAAGAATGGGTACCCAGTTTATAGAATATTATCATAGCATAGGCTCATGTGAGATCGATCACCTGAAATGCGCAGAAAGATATCGGGAGAAAACGAAGGAAACTCTTGCCGGCCTTCTCACTCCGGTCCAATCAATCTCAACATTAGATTGGGCGATCTAGACCGTCTCCCTGAGATCGTTAACATCGTACAAATTTCTAAATATTATATTCTAATTCTGTTGCTTTTTAAATCTTTTCCTTTCTCTTTTCCTTCAAATTATTATACTTGCACCAATATCTATGACTTTTCCGGTTTTAACCACTTCAACAGTTGAGAATACGCCAAAATATTCAGATAGAGCCTTCCCACTTCTTCCCAACGAAGTTAGTCTAATTATTTTTTCGTTTTTGACACAAGAAGTACGTTTAAACTTGCGTCAAGTGTCTAAAGCATTTAGATCTTTAATATATGCCCCATGTTTCTGGCAAGAAGTAGTAATTTATAATATAAAAGGTCTTGAGCTTGATAAAACATTGGAAATCTTGAAAGGCGTGCAAGCATTGGATGCTAGAGCTCTCAAAGTTAATGATGTGTTCGTTAAGAAATTGTTAGCTAGTTCTGCTAGAAATACTCTTAAAGGTAAAAACATTAATTTTTCGAATCGTAAAGTACATTTTTTCTTGATTTTAAATTACTTCAATTTTAGTGTTGGATCTTTCTGTCACAAAGATTACAGATGAATCATTATCTCTTATTGGAAAGAATTGCACATCTCTTGTACAATTGTTTCTAGAAGGATGCAGAAAAATATCAAATATATCACCATTAACTTCAATATGTAATTTAACAACGCTAATATTATCACATTGTATATTAATAAATGATAACTCAATTGAGTCACTTTTCTTATATCCTAATCCTCACTTGCAAACTTTAACAAAATTAAGTATTGATGGATGTGATAAAGTAACAGATCTTGGAATTTTGTTAATTGCAACTAAACTTACTAAGTTAAAATATTTGGATATTGATGGGCAAGGAACAAGCGATATTTCAATCACGCAAATATTTAGAAATTGCAAGGAATTAGAATTATTAGCTGTATCATTTTGTGAATATTTAACTGATAAAGTATTGATCGAGATAATCGAATATTTGCAACCAAATTTTAAATTTCTAAAACTCAGAAAGGGGGATTTATTTACTGAAGCAGGGTAATTAATTTATGGTTATTTATTGGTTTCAAAAACATATGATTAATTGATTCTTTTTTTTTTTTTTTGGTAAATAGATTTAGCCATTTTTTTCATGCATTATCGGATAGAGGACATTCGTTTCACTCGTTAGATTTATCAGAATGTGCAAATATAACGAATCAAAGTTTATCTCATCTTTTTCAACCACAATTAAAACTGATAAATTTAAACTGGTGTTGGAAAGTTACAGATCCTTCATTATTTCATATAATATCAGGATGCCCAAATCTTCAAGAAATCATGTTAACAGGTTGCAATCAAATAACGTGTGAATCATTATTAACCATGGATGGATTCTTTCGAAATGACTTATCTTCATTAAATATATTAGATTTTTGGTCTTGTAGAAGCATTGAACCTAATATTATTACTCGCTTTGGTCTATCGTATCCAAAATTATATATTATAGATTATTATGGTGAAGTTTATAAAGATTGTAAAAGAATTGGTTTTAGAGATGAAGTTTTTGTTGAAAATGAAATTAATGAATTTCAAATTGGTGGTAGAGAAAAGAGGTGGGGTAAATTAAGTGTTGGAGATACTAGAAGATTTTATAGATATTATTCTGTATAAAAAGCAATTAAGTTAATAAAATTTTATTATTATATTCATGAATTGATTTGGCCAAGCTTTCCGCTTCGGGTTTTGGAGAAGTAATATTTACTTTAATATTTTTAATATTCTCTAAATATTTACTTGTAGTATTACCTATACTTGCAATTTTTACTTTATCCCAATCTTTTAATAAATTCACTTTTAATAATTCTAATGAATTATCAACTCCGGACGGACTAAAAAAGGTTATCCAATTAATTGTTTTCTTTTTTTCAACAAGGAACTTTGATATTTTATCTAATTCGGTAGAAAATGATGAATTGGGTTTGGTTTCATAAATTCTTAATTCTTTTAATGATATTCCAGATTTTGATAATTTGTTTGGTAATTCTTCTCTCCTTTTATCTCCAACAAGAAATAATAATTTTAATCGTTGATTATGAGGACCTTTTCCACGGATCGAATTAAAATATTCTATAATATAATCTGCCAATGATTCGGAATTTCCTGATTCATCAGCTCCAAGTGAATTGATCTCAAACATCTCTCTTACAGCTTTCGCAGTTGATTTACCAACGACAAAATATGGTATTTTTTTCCATTTCTCTAATACATCTATCCTTTCACCTAAGATTATCATCATCTTAAAACCTTTTCTTAACAAAAAAAAATAAAAAATAAAAAGGAATTGCTTACCGGAAGAAAGTATTTGATCCCATGCTACTTTAAGCCCTTCAACCGCCCTTTGACTAGTGGCTATAACACCTCCATATTGATTATCAATTCCATTCTTTAATATATTCGTTAATTCATTTATATTCACCAAAGAATGTTCGAGTACTGGTAAATATAGTATTGTATATTCTCCTAGTTCATTGAATTTTTGTTCATAAACATCTATATTTGAATCGGTTTGTATCGTTTTTTCTTTTAAAAGTAATATCGTTTGTGACATTATGTGCGAAATCGCGAGATATATAATAAAAGAATGGGTAATGCCAACTAAACAGAAATGAACAGATCTACAAACTTAATTTTGAATGGCATTATGACAGATACTTTGATCACGATGATTGAATATAGTCAATTTTTTGCGCAAAATCATGTTAGCAGAATTTTTTTAAATTTTATAGTTTTAATTAACAACATTTCAAAAACGTTTATTTCCATCAAATTTGATTTTTAAAGAAGTATAGTTATTAATCTTTGCTTTATTCACAAATAGTTATTATAATAGAAATAATAAATTAAAAATAGCCAAGAAAGCGGACCGGAACCAAGCAAGCCGTCAAATCGAAATTGTTTACTTTTTATTTTCCGTTTCCACGAATCCTGGGAAACATTCTTCCAATTTTTTACTGTGTTTATTACCGGCGTGTTCCTCTAATCTAAAAAACAAAGGAAATCAATTCTCAATTAAAATCTACTGTAAATGAACACATATATATATATATATTATTACAGAATCGAATATACTTACGCTTTCTTTCTTACAGTACATAAAAATGTATTTCGACAAACTTGACATATTATATTCTTGGCAGCTTCGTTCTAATTAATTAAATTAATTTAAAAAAAAAAATAAAAATAAAAAAAATTATAAATGAATTATAAAAATCAAACCACTTTATTATAATTCAATTATTCTTTTTTTTTTTTTCTACATTATAATTCTCGAAAAATTTTAAGATATTTTATTAATAATTATTAATATTAAATTTGTTCCCTTGTGAACTTTAAACTTACCGTTTTCTTTTGGCTAGTTGGTCCTTTTTTTGCATCATTCTTTGCTCGTTCTCGTTTATGTTGTGCTTTTTGTCCCTAATAAATCATTGATTCTATTTAATCGGAATACAAATTATCTTTCTCTGATATAAAACATTGGGATCATTTAAAGAAAAAAAAAAAGGTCAACTAAAGCTGGAACTCACATACATTACCCATTATGTAGTAATTTTGATCTTTAAAGGAAGTAACGGAAGTAAAAGTTTTTGTCACACATTTGAGCAATAAAATTTGATTTTTTTATTATTAACCAATACAGACATGATTGGTGGAAAATTTTCTTGATTACCAATTGGTTAACGATCCGATCCATCCGATCTTTATCGACCTGGGCAGGGACGATGATCTCCGGCGGCGAAAATTTTCAAAATCTGCCGGCGCTTATTTTAAAATCTGCTCTGCTTTCTGCG